GTGCACCAGAGTCCTTCTGATTAGCTCAGAAGAAAAAGGACTGAAGACTGAGGTAGAGCATCAGTATCAGAGGCTTTGCTGTGCTGCTGGCCTAGAAGATGCAGGAACCACCTCAAAGGCAAGGAGAAGCAAGGAAGCCCACACTTCCCCAGGGCCTCCAGCAGGGAATGCAGCCTGTGGCATCTGGGTTTTGCCCCAGTGGAATCCATTACAAACACCAACTCCAAAACTGTAAGGCAATTATTCTGTATTGTTTTAAGTCCCAAAGGCTACAGTACTTTCTTACAGCAGCATCAAGAAAGTAAAATAAGCAGTTATTCGCAAAGTATCAGACACTCCAAAAATCTATAAGGACAATACCTGCAATCAATTAAATAGGTCAAATTAATTTGCAAGGTCACCTCATAATGACAATGGAAAAACCATATTTCATTTGATGTTTTGTAATCATGGAGAAAGGGGAAAAGCAATTATTGTATTTACATTCCTTGAAACAACTAAACACCAGGACAATAAAATAATGTGTAAAAGGTCATTACAGTATTTACAGAGAGCGAGGAATCGCAGTTTCTCACCCCCTAGCTTTCCTTAACAAATCATAGAAGCTAAATACATTAGAAGCTTCTTATAACTGAATGGGTATGTCTTTCCTTAATTTAGGGAAGTTTTTTTCTATAATCCTGGTGAAGATCTAGTAATGCCATTGACTTGAGATTCTTCTCCTTCCCCTATGACTATAATTCGTAAATTTGGTTTTTCATGTTGTCCAACATTTCTTACGAATTCCATTCCTGTTCTTTTTAAAAAATTTTCATATCATTTACTTGAGCTGCCCAGTTCTTCAACTTTATCATTCAGTCTTGATATTATGGTTTTTATTTTATTCATCCTGTTGGTGAGGCTTTCTCCTGTTGTTTCAAATTGACTTATTGAATTTTTTAATTCCATCTTCATTTCAGCCTGAGTTTTCTTCAATATTTCTATTTCTTTTGTGAATTCACTTTTCAAATCCTGAAATGTCTTTGTCATTTTATTCAGTCATATATTTGTACTTTCTTGAGGTTCAGTCGGGAGTTTATTCCTTTTTTCTTTGAGTTCTTTGAGTTGTTTATTTGTGTGTTCTTAAAAATCCGTGAATTCTTTACTCATGTTTATGGATTGTTCCTTTAAGACTTGTGCCCCATGTTTTGTCTGGGTAGTTTTCATTATAGAACACTTCTATAGACTGGTGAACATATTATCTTGATTTATCATATTTGAGTTTTTATATTGTAACATGAGCATATAGGCACTTTGTTGGTTGTGTGTCTGATATGAAATTCTGACCTGCCTCTATTGTGTTGAAGTTCGGTTCTGTTTTTATTGTTGATGTAGCTTGGTTGGTTTCTGATCAGGTATGAATAGTTAGTTCATCTGGGCTTCAGATAATAACTTTTGATTTTATTTTTATTGGAGAGGCAGACAGAATGGTTCCAGACAGGCTAGTCAGGAGTTCTCCAGCAGTATAAAGAAGCATAGTCCCAAGGCAGGCAAATGAGGACCAAGTGGATGGGTTCTGACCAGCTAAGCAGGGTAGATGTGGTCCCTGGAGCCTCAAAGAAGTCAATGGTGGTTGAGTGGGCAGGATCTGACGAACTCACCAAGCTAGTTGGAACCTCTCAGTGGGCTTTAGATTTTTAATTGAATTTTTGTGATTTTCATGTGATATATTTTGATGGTATTTAGATTTCTTCCACTATCTGCACCTCTCCTTACTGCCCCCCACCCAATTTAGTATATATGCATATAGGTTATTTGTGTCTCTGTGTGTGTGTACATGGCATATAGAGTCCAAGTTGTGTCATCTAATGTCTTTCAATATGGGTAGTGTTGGTTCATACAATGGAGCCTGGTTAACCTACTAAGAGTCACATCCTTGAAAGAGACTGACTCTCCCTACCAGCAGCCATCAGTTGTCAATAGTTCTTCAGGTAAGGTTGTGGTTTCTTACCCACTTCCACATGCCTATACTATGATTTTGTCTGGTTTAATATTGCATGGGGCTTGTGCATGCTGTCAGCATCACTGTGAGTTCATATGAGTAACTGAGCAGCTGTCTGGAAAACTATTTTCTTGTGGTCACCTGCCACCTCTGGCTCCTAAAATCTTTTTGTCTCCCCTTCTGCAATTATCCCTGAACCTTGGAGGCAGAAGTTTGATGTAGATGTCCTATTCAGGGGTAAGCACTCTTGGAGGCAGAAGTTAGATATAGATGTCAAATTCAGGAATAATAATTCTGCAGTTTCTTATTCTCTGCACCATTGGGCAGCTGTCGTTTCTGTGTTAATCACCACCTGCTGCAAAAGGAAAGTTCTCTGGCAAGAGCCGAAAAATTCATTAATCTATGAGTATAACAATAGGTCATTAGGAGTCAGTTTAATACTGCAACTATTTAGTAGAAAATTGGTATTATGCTCTCCCCATGACCTGTGTCCAGCCTCAATTTCCTAGGACTGATGTCAGTGTCAGATATGGGCTCCATCCTAGAAAGTGGACCTTAAATCTAGTTAGAAAGTAGTTCATTGCACCCATAGTTTTCATGCCACTATTACACTGGTGGGCGTAACTTGCCAGGCCAGGTGTTGTAGTTCACAAGATTCAAGCTTAGGGATTCAAGTTGGGTAAGGCTTATGATTGTTTTTTTCCTTTTGGCAGCGTGCATAGCACCTTCTAGCACTATGAAGCTAACCAGTAGAGATGACTTTGAAGTCAACAAAGCTTGATTTCTCCTTGTTTTTTCTATAGCTCCTATAGGTAGTGTGTTCATCAATAGAGTCTTATCATCAAGTTCTGGTGGGAAACCAAGAGCAGGGACAATGATCAATATTATTCAAAGGTCTGTAGGACCTTTGTTCAACAGCTTCAAGACAAGAACTCCATTCTCGGCAATGGGGTTTTATTCTGTAAGCCTATGGTACTTAGTAGGGGCATGTCCCTTTGTCACCAGGTAACATGTTTTAATCTCCTCCTATAATGCGTATATTTTAGGAAGCTTCTGTAGTGGTATATTTCTTTAAGGCTTGTTCTAAAGGCCTTTAGTGTTGGTAATCCTTCTTATATTTGTGCTGTGCTTTTTAAAAAGCAAACTCCAAGTAACAGTTTATGTTTAGTAATTACTGTTCAGTAATTGTTCCAATTTATTTTCAAAAACTTTTCACTGTCAACTTCTTGTAAATGTCTATTTAATGACTTATTCAGAACACCATCTTTTCTGCTCACTGAGCCAACAACGCTGTCTTGCCTTCGGTTAGGGGATGTTTTTCACAACACCAAAGAATTAGGAATTAGGGCTGGAGAGATGGCTCAGCGGTTAAGAGCACTGACTGCTCTGGCAGAGGACCCAGGTTCAGTTCCCAGCACCGGGAGGCTAACAGTTGACTGTAACTCCAGTCTAGGGGATCTAACTCCCACTTCTGACCTCTGCAGGCATTGCACAACACAGGCACAGTGCACTCACATACATGCAGGCAATACACTCATACACATAAAATAAATTTATTAAACAAAATATATTTTTTAAAAACAGAATTAGGAATTAAACTTTTCAAACATTTAATTCAAGGGTTGGAGACATTGCTCAGTGGTTAAGAACAGTGGGTGTTCTTGCAGAGGACCTGGGTTTCATTCACAGCATGTACATGGCAGTTAACAACCATCCATAACTCCAGTTCCAAAGATCTGACATCCTCTTCTGACCTCTGTGAGCATTGAACAACACAGGTACACTTACATACATAAGGACAATACACTCATACACATAACATAAAAATAATAAATAAAATAGTTCTAAAAAATTTAATTCACTCAGAAAATGTAGTCTTAAAAATTCCTACAAAATGAAAAAGTTAGAAATGGAAATGTAACAAGATGTGATAGTATGCTGGTCTGTTCCACATAGTTAATGTCTTCAGCATTCTGCTTCCTGAGATGTAATACTTGAAGAACTCTTCAGTCAAAGGCCTTAAGAAAACTGAGGAGCTGTTAGGGGTAAGGGAGGTGATGGAGTGGTTGATGGGGAAAAATAACAAAAACTCCACAGGACCAGTCACAGCAGCAACGATGCGGCATCTCCAATTTTCTTCCTTCTCGGAAAGTCACAGTATCATCTTTCATTGAATCTAACAGAGACTTTCCTTTTCAGATGATGTTTCATATATTATCTCATAAATTATGTGTTTATTATGTTTCTGCAGTTCACACAAAGAGCTGGGAGATTTTTCAGAGGGAAATCAAATTCAGTGTTTCACCTTGATATTTCTTACATGTGCAGTATATATTTTTGAAATTTCTAACTGCTGTCAGTGCCTTATTTTTTTTTATCAGTAATAGCTGTATATACAAAAACCTCTGGTTAAATTCTTTTAGGAGTAAAATAAGACCCTCATTTTTTCTTTCTGCAGTTGATACCTTTAGCACTCATAGGAAGCCATTACATATGCATGTAGAAAATTCTGCACAGAAATATCTTAACAAGCCTGAATAACAGTCTCTTCAGAAATTTGACTTACTTAGTAGGTGCTTATGATTACAAAGAGCAAACATTATTTTAGTCTGAAAATGTTAGAATACATTTTTTTTTTGTTCACTGAAAGCACCGTAATCTTCTCTGAAATGTATTACATAAGTACTTACAGGTAAAGTAGGATCCATGAAAGAAATAGGTCCGTGACTTCACACAATAGGACAAATTAGAAAAGTTATCAGGATTTTTTTCAGATGTTGTCACGCTATAGAAGTGGAGGTTGAGTAATAGTGGGAAGTCCTACCACAGCAGGGTTCAACTCCACCGAACACAAGAAATACACCCACATCCCACACCCAGGAAAACCGCTCAACCTCCTACATTAGCGTCCCCAGGCATGTTACATCAGCTACTTTTTTGTCTCCATGGAAATGCCTGTCATAGCTATGTTGGAGGCAGAAAACAGATTGAAATCTTTTGCTTCAGTGATACTCGTGATTCATCTAGTTTTCAATTTTGATGTGAACCCAGAGAATTGTCTCCATAGTTTCTGCCAAGCCCCCTTCACCTCCTTATTCCTTAGACTATAGATCATAGGGTTCAGCATGGGTGTTAAGATGGCATAGAAGAGAGAAATCAGCTTCTCCTGAAGGACAGAGGGACTGGAGTGGGGCTGGATGTAGGTAAAAATGGCCATGCCATAACACAGGACCACCACGGTGAGGTGAGAGGCACAGGTATGGAAGGCTTTCTTCCTTCCCTCTGTGGACTGGATTTTCAGGATGGTGGAGATGATCTGGACGTAGGACAAGAGAACCAGGCAGAAGGGGGTCATCAGAAGGATGATGCTAGACACCATGATGGCAACTTCATTGGAAGAAGTATCCACACAGGCCAGCCTGACCACAGCGAGGAGCTCACAGGAAATATGATCGATGTACTTGTTGGTGCACATGGGCAGCTGGAAGGTGATGCCAGTCTGCATGACAGAGTTGATGGAGCCACCGACCCAAGATGCAATAGCCATCCTACTGCACAATCCTGCTTGCATGATGGCAGAGTACCTCAGGGGGTGGCACACTGCCACATAACGGTCATAGGCCATCATTGCCAATAAAACAAACTCAATCCCACCTAAGGCCAGAGAGAAAAATAACTGGGCTGCACAGCTCAGGAATGGAATGGCTTTATGAACTGCAAGAAGGTGAGCCAGCAGCTGGGGGACTATGCTTGTGGCATAAGACACATCCACAAGGGACAGGTTGGTGAGAAAGAAATACATAGGGGTGTGGAGTCTGCTGTCCAATCTGATCAGAAGAACGATGAGAAAGTTTCCCAATACTGTCACCAGGTACATCAGCAGGAACAGGACAAAGAGGGAGACTTGAGTGTCCCAGTCACTGGACAGACCAAGGAGGATGAATTCAGGCACCCATGTCTGGTTATATGCTCCCATCAAAAAGTATTAATCTGCAGTGAAAGTCAAAAGTAATAGACATTTGTCAAGAAACATAAAAGATTACTTTTAGTTCATTTGAATAATCCAGATAGCCTTCACTAGGAAAGTCAGATCATGTATTGGCCAAGACAATAGACAAGTATGCTTTGTATTTACTGCACCTCAGGAAGACTGTTGAGGACCTTCACATGAACATAATTTGGTGTCAAGGCGGTCAGTTAAAACTTGAAGATGGTGCACTGAAATTTCAAGAGCACTGCACCTTCCCTGACTTACCCCAGATTCTAGGGTGAGGCTGAAATGGTATATGACATTAACCGGTATAATGATGAACAGGGAAGAAGAATCCATTTGTCTGTTAAAGAAGAATCTTAACTATATCAGCTGTACTTGACTCGGTGAAATGAGTAAGTCTATAATATAAAAAAAGGTTTGGAAAAGTAAGGCTGTGTAATATGCAGGTCGTTAGAACCAAGATTTGAAACAATTTTATTGAACAGGTTCATGGTTTTGTTTCGTGATAAACACACATGTGCTCGAGCATAAGATTCAGTAATACAAAAGTATATGTAAACTCAGATGTGGATAAGAAAATGCTTTGAATTGTCACTAGTAGAACTTCCATAGTTATATGGGTTTTAGTAGCAACCTGATCGCTGCATTGGGTAAAGTAACAAACGCAATTTTCTCTCACATCCCTTCCACAAACTCAAGCACAAATAACCCTGGAGTTAGACTTTAATACATCTAGAGCTCACATTATCTTGGATCTTAATGACCCAGGAGCATAAAGAGCACAGGTCTTTTTGAAAGCCTTTGAAAGCCCTTACAAGACATGGAGAGGGAAATATGATTTTACTTTTTACCCTTTTCAATTTGTTGCTGTTAAGCATCTGTATGATAGAAATAGCTCCCAAGAAAACAAACAAGAATGTGAATGCTTAGATGTTCAAGACAAAACAAAGCAGGAAGTAACGGTCCATCTTCATCATCCAAGACAGAGTAAAATAAGAATTTTGATGGGTATGGTGGAAGATGAATTCATGGAAAGTCCTTTCTTTTTCTCAGTAAGTTTTTTTTTTTCAGTAAAATTACTATGTTATAAATATTAATTTTGAACAGAAACAGAAAGTGGTTGTATTTTTTAAACTTAATTTGGCTCATCCGCATTGCTTGCCTGCCAAACACTGTTCTTTGTTGGAGCAGAGGCAGGCAGAAGGGACTGGGGCAGAAACAGAGGGTGTTGATCACGTGAGGGTCTCAGAGCTGAAAGACGAAAAGCTGTCACGTTTCAGCTCACTTACCTCATAAAGAACAAAAGAGAAAAACCAGTTTCCATGTCATACGTGGTCCAGACAACTACACCCTTGTTTATCAGTCTTCCCTGATATCCTCCTCACAGCCTGACCTCCTCTCAACAGCCCCTTCTTTGCTCCATCCTGGTCCTTCCCCCACCACTCAGGTAGCCTTTCTAAAACCGTACCAGTCTGAGGAAATATCTGACTGCTTCGAAGAAAGAAAAGAGACATTCAAATTTAAATTCACAATCCCCAAAATAGTTTATTACAAAAAAAAAAAACCTGTTAATCAGTGATGAGTACATAGCAAATCTGCATCCGAATTGGATCATTTTCTCCATTACTTTTGCAAATATTTGAAGTGCCATTTTGGCTAGAAACTGGGACTTCAGGGTGAATAAAATACTTTTGATTCATCTGTGTAGCCCAGCCAGCCTTCACCAGGAAATTCAGATCATGTATTGGCCAAGAAACAAGACCTAATCCCAGCGCGCTTTTTATTTACTGTGCCTCAGAAACAGCTGAGGGCCGTGAACTTAGTTTGATGTCACCGGCTTCAGTGAAAGCTTGCGGAAGGCGCACTCGGCCCACACTGCCCCTGAGTGCGCAGAACAGGTCTCTGTCTTGTTACTGGTGCCTCTGCTGCTCTGGGTGCTGCCTGGAGACCAGCCAAGCCTTTGATGCGTGCCCACCTGCCAGCTCGACTACTGCCCGGTCTCCTTACTGAGGATTGTTGCATCCTGGGAAAAACATGGGCTTCAGAGTCCAGCAGCTCTCCTTTGAATCCACGTGCCTTCTTCTCCCTGAGGTCTGAAGCGAGCTGAAAGGCTCTTTGGTGAAGTTAGAATTAGAGGATGACTATTCTGCACAGAGTGCTGGACAGGCAGGTATCCATCATTAGTAATGCGAGCATGTCTTGAATTCCTGCTGTCCTCCTCCTTCGAGATAATTTTCTTCCTTTTTCCACCCCTCTTTATCATCCTCAGGTTTCTTTGCTCTTGAGCAGCTCCATTCCCTCCTTTTTAAAAGAAATTTTACGTGCTTCTCGCGCATTGTAAAAATGTATCATATGCAAGTCACTGTTTAGGTAAGGGGGATTTGCTATGCCTTTATCATTCTAGAGTTATCCTTAATTTTCGTCTCGTGATTGGCATCCATTTTCCAGATTCACTTCCTATACATCCTCTAAGCCATGGAACTTCTACTCTCCTTTATTTATAAAAATTCAAAAATTTACGTACCCTGCTACAATTAATTCCAGGGATTTTTGTTGTATTTTTATTCTTCGTCTATTTCTAAGCAAAGTTAGTTCAACTTATCCTATGTTCCCCTCTTGTTTAAACTCCAGTCCAATTTTCTTCTCTATGGTTTTGGATAATTTCCCTAAACTCTTCTGTTCAGAACATTTCCCAAGATGGTGCGCTCAGAACTCTGGTTTCTTCTTAGGGGTCTTGTAAATGCAACCATAACAGTTATCTAGTCTGTATGGCTGAAGCTTAATTCCACAATAATCTCGACTTTTCTCTAAAGGAGAAGACACTTTATCAAATGACTTAATGTTTCCTGAATATCTCAGCAATGACTAGGTTCATCTCCCTACCCAACAAATTCCTTCCCAATCTTTTTTCTTTTTTCTTCCAATGAAACTAGAATTCTCCTGCTCTTCCAGGAATTGAGTTTGACTTTTCCCTGCCTCACAACACAGAATGAATCTCCCACCTTTGTCTCTTCTGCGGTCCCATCTCCCACACATCATCATGACTATCTTACGGAGTACTTAAGTTTTTGTTAATCTTCCTTGGGTGAACCTTACCCACTCAAAATATCACATATTCTAGCTCCAAATTAATCATTCAAAACACAAATTTACCCACATTTGAAACAGATCTGTAATGTCTCTGTTTTCAGATTTAAGTTAATCATTGACAGAATTCCACACAATTCATAATCTGGTTCTGTGCCATTATCGACTTTACTGATTTTAGAAATTCCTATCATGTTGTACATAGTATGCAAATCATCTTTATTGAAATAAGTTTCTAAAACTTAAATACTTTTACTGATATGTTAGTTGATTGTGCCTAATCTACCATGATTTTTTATTT